AACGAAGTTACAAATTTATAGTGAAGTTATAAATCCATGAAATAATAAAATTCATAAATTTACAAAAAAATATTTTTTAAATAAAGAACTTTTGTGCTATCATTTCACCTCAATGCCTGAACTAACTACAATAGAAACGTGAGATCCTCAGGTTCCGCTATAAAATCTGCGTCTACCACCGTATTTCGTAAATCGCGTGTTTCTTTCGAAACATGTTTCACGCACAAAATAATTGAAACTCTGGAAGACAAATTTTTAATTCACACAACCCCGGTAAATTCCTCTTCGAAACCCTGGACGAACACTATCGCTGCATTTCAACACCCAACATTTCCAGGAAAGCGAAATCAACGTCAGTCTCCGCTGATACTCCCATAAAGTCTGAACTTTTTTCCTCGTCGTGTAAAACATTTGTAAGTTAGCATAACGCGCGATAGCCACGCGAAAAAAGTTACAACGAGTCAAGACGGCGCAGGTTTTCGTGGCAAGAAAAGCACGGTTCAAAGGGTTCCTCTGCTCGCCGGGCGTTGAATTTCACGATGCACGAGCGCGATGCAACGAGGTACTCGAGATTGAACGCTCTCGAATACGAGGACAATCACGATTACAGTTAGTTAGATCAGTTACACTTGTGCAAGCACACACACATGTAGGTACACAAATAAGTCAACACGGTGTTGTGCATAACTGTATGAAAGGCGGTGTGGTCACGCTCTCGGCTGAAATAACAACGCGTCGCGATAAAATTCGCGCCGGAACTTTTTATCCACGATCAGAAGCTCGCCGGAACATATTGGGAAACAGACTTCTCTCTGTTCGTTAAAAAGTAACAAGGAGAGTCGCGGCGATTGCTGCAGCGCTGCGCCGTTTCAAAAGGGAAACGAGAATCCGTTTAACCGAATTTCGCGAGTCGCGGATTAACAGTTGCGAGATTATCGTGCTCGTTTGAGAAACGCTTGGACTCTACTTTTTTTTTTAGGTATCCGTCTTTGTGTTGCAAAAACAGATTGAACGATCGATGGGTAAATGTATCGCAAGAGGAGAAGTGCTTTTTCTTTAAATAAAATTTAAATGGTATTCGACTAAAATCGACTTCTATTTTTTTACTGTAAAATTTGTCTTCTTATTTCTTACTTTCGTGCTTTCTTTTTATGGAGTCGAGTAACAATTCGATGTACTTATGTACGCTACCGGTCAAAAGTTTGGAATCACCTCCCACTTTTCATCGATATTAAATTTGCTGCTAACTTTTTATAGATTTGAAGTTTATCTCAATGCTACATTTATCAATTTACCTCATATCGATTGGTTCGAACGATAAAAAATTCTCAAAGTCGCTGACTTTTTTCTGTAAATTTTTCTGTAAATTGCAATGCTCGGTGATTCCAAACTTTTGGCCGGTAGTGTATGAACTAATCAATTTTAGAGCTGTAATATAAATACAGCAGGACGATGAATGTTTAACACGTTGAATGATGAATTCGGTAAAAGCATTTTTAATTAAACAAGTGGTAATATTTATACAAATTTTCAATACTGTAAATATCACGACAATTATGTAAAATAGCAAATGTACCATAGTACATTTAAACAATTTTACTTTTGATAAAATAGATATAAAATTAGTAATTTTATTTTGATGAAAATTTACACGCACATATTGTGATGTATCGTGCAAATAAAATAAATAAATGTACAATATGCATTGCTAACAAAAATTTTATTCTAGCTCACAGAGCAAGTCACATCAAATTTCTCCAGCATTCATAAATATTAAAATAACTTTAAAAATACAATTTTTATTACCCAAGTATAAAAACCTTGACACCAATTTAAAAAAAAAAAAGAAGAAAGGAGAAACTGTATCTATAATAAATCCCAAGAAGAAAAGTCTCAATCATAAAAAGAACAGGCATATCTGAGCACCATCTTGCTAAAATCACGCTTCAGCCTCGCCACGTGCTCACAGCCGCAACAACCGATCATTTATTACATTTTTTCCTCTCTCCTCGTCGAAATTTCGTCCGGGCCAGCCTGCCGTCTTTTCTCGGGGATTGACAAAATAAGATGTTTCTCCTCACGGCGATCAATCTCTTTTTCTGCGCTCTCTCACTCTCTCTCTCCGTGTATTAAAAAGGAGGCAACGTTTTGAACGAGAGCGTGAAAAACCGACGAGCCCATTTTCACGGTGATTTCAGCGGGAAATCTCGCCGCGTGCCGCACGATTCAATTTTCCTCGGTAATATTCTGATTTAACGGGGCGGCCGACCGCCTCGAGCACCGACGACGCCGCCTTTCAACCGTCCCGCGACGCCGACGACTCAGGGGATAATTGCGAACGGGCCACCGCAAAAATACTCTCTCCCTTTAGATAGGATGCACGGAAACGCTTCGAGCATGTTACTTTAATTGCTCGACGAAATTGCTACTTCTGACGGGGTCAGTCCAAAGCGTAATCGCTTTTCCAATTACGTTAGAATAAGCTGTATTGTTAGACAGTCGACCTTCCATGGCACACTTTCCTCGTCCGTCAGCGAATCAAGGGGAAAAAAGGCACGTTCCCTGTGTGTGATCGTGTACGACTAGATATGAAGATTTCGTGATTGAGCCGCGACGGAGAAATGTGGCAAAATGGAATCGAAATTGAGAATTTTTTTTTTTAATTAAAATTGCAACCGAAAGTTACACTTCTATGCAACAATTCTGTCACGAAAATATAAGTGAATTTACTCACACAGAACGCTACACTACCGTCAAGAGTGTGACAATCTTTCTGTGACACAGGCAAAAGATATTCACTCTCGATGACCGGGTCACCGGTGACCCGACTTTTAGACGTTTCTCGTTTCAATCGGTATTTGAAACGGAGTCACGACTCTAGCATATTTCTTATTTCAATAATAACATATTTATACAATTCTAAACAATGTAAGGTCTAGTAAAATAACAAAATATGGTTTCATTCGCGTACGAAAAAGATTTCAGTACTGGGTCACATTTGACCCAGCGTCCGTCGTTCGCGGGACAATCACTCGATCAGCTGTCCGAGGGTTAAGACATTACAGCCAACTCTCCACGATGACATGTACCAAGTTAAAAGTAATAACTCGAGGTGTAACGATCATTCCCCTCCCGGTGTCGCGGGCCTAAATCCGCCAGGTGAGTTGCCGCTTGGCGGAAAAAGAAACTCCGCTCTGCGGTCAGCGTGCGCGCACAGTTTTTATTCGACGTTGCATGGTTAACCATCACCTGTCACGATGATTAATGCGCCGAGCTCCCTAGCCAAAGCCCTACGCCGATTTTTGTCGCCGCTACACTGTTCTGCACTTTATACACCGGTCATTACTCTGTGCGACGTTTTCATCGAAAAGAATTATCTCGAACAGTAACTTTACATTAAATCTTTCCTCGAGAGGCTACCATAAGCCTTCGTGACTCGCTTCTCCTCCGTGTAAAATCGATCTATTCACCGTTCTGACGCGACAGTCGCGCAATAGGACGCGATCTGTCGTTGAAGTTCCCACCCAACGAGAGAACCGCGAATACGTGTAACACGATAATACGCCATTTACGATCGACGAAAGCGGAAAATGTCCCGTTGCAGCGATAACACCGCGATGTTAATTCGTTCGAATTCGTCAGGAATTCTACAGGACGCACAGAGCTACCTTTGTAACCCAAACATTGCGTATTACGTCCCCCGCGTTGTTCCCTGCGGTTGAAATATTCACGGTGAAACGAGCAGACCCGTATTCGACGTTATTTAATACCGTAATCTTCAATTAGCTTAAATCAACGCCGAGCGAAAATCGTTTCCGGTGGCACGGCGACGAATCGAGTTAATGTTGTTGCAAATTTATAATCAACTCGCCCCCAGCTTTCCCATTTCAGGATTGACGCGGTATTTTTATTTAATCTCGTCAACTGTATTACGAACGTGATATTGAAACACGCTCAGGGATACTTATATGCTAAACGAAACCGGTGTTATTTTGAAATTAAACCGTGAAATCGTTCGTTGCTCGCGTGTAATGGAAATTCGGGCAAGTTGAATTAAACAAACTTTCGTTAAACTTGCTGTTGGAATTCACCGTTAACACGCGCGTACTCTCTCGGTGCGTAACCGGGAAAAGTCTTTTGACCTGGGTTTATTGCACCCCTTGCTGGCCTAAGGACTCCGAGAAACCAGCTAGTCAGTCTAATGCCGCCGTCCAACTAGAATCCCACGCTTAGGACCGCCACGATAGTTTAACATTCACTAGGACATTCCACTGGAGTTATTTATTGTAATGAACAACTTATAAACAATTACGTGTTGTTTTTTCACAATCAATCAAAACTTCCAACACTTGTAATTATAACTTCTATCGATCAAATCACTACAATAAACACTAAAATATTTGTTTTCAAGAAATTCTTAATTTAACCCTTTCGCTGCGGTAGATTTTAATGTGTCACGTGGGCGACTGACGGTAACTTTTTAACCACGGTTGCAAAATTTGTCATTTTGGCCGTATCGTTTTAAAATTCGGTTGATTAAATTAAGGTGGAAGTGCGTAAATGATGAAATTAAGGTGAAAATGCACCAAGAGGCTCCAACGGTATAGTGCAAGCATATTTTCAAAACGCCTACAGGCGCCAATAGTAACGAAAGGGTTGAACCAAAATCATAAAAATCGCAGAAAAAAGTAATTTCAATTCTCGGTCGATTTTTCTATTTAATTACCGTCAGGTCGTCGGCGAAGTGAATTCGCGATTATAATATTCATGAAATTCCCAACGGACCGGCATGGCCAGGTCGGCAGAATATTCCGTACACGCGGCTAACGAACCTCTATCGATCTTTCGGACCGAAACGCAGTAAGTGGAGCAAGATTTGACCCAGCGATGCCGGTTAGAGGTCGAGGAATCGGCGCGATGGCGTCGTGAATCGGATGATCCGTCCAAGTGGATCGTGGGAGCCTGCGGTTAGATTCGAATCGAGCCGCCGACGTACTCACCTATGATGGTGTGCACCCTCACGGACAGCTGTGTCCTGAGAACGATCGAGTTCTTTCGGCTGCAACAGACAAAAAGAGAGAACGATATCAGTGGGCTGGTTTGTCGCACGCTCAGAATCGACGGAAGGCTAACTGTTATGACTTCGAACCGTGGGTTCACGATCCCCCCACGATATCCTCGGACGCTATTTTTTCAGAAATTTCTAAGAGAAACGCTCGTTCTCCCGGGTTAGTTAGCAACAAAAAATTGAACAGAGCGAGGACGTGGAAATTGGGTCTCGGTAAAATTGTTGTTACGCGTGACCACTATGTCCATTTACGGACTCTGTTCCTAATTCCTAAATAGCAATAGATGTATCATAAACCCACGATACAGCACATGCGATCAGTGGCCTTAATAGACACATGGCCGAGGGCCTGACCTCCTCTGTCACTTTCTCTGTCGCGAAACTACAGGTCCAATGTACCAAGATTGACGATGCCAATTTAGATAAACTGCTCGACGACGGTGTGTTTTTTCTACGAATTATCTCTTTCGATCGATTAATCAAAAATCCAAGGAAAAACAAATATCGCTGTAATCTACGCGTCAAACAACATCATCAAGGATTATTAAATATTCTCCTATAAATTCTAACTTCGCAACAACTACCTCGTAAACCTTGTCTACGTACGAAGATGGATTAGGCAAGACCTTCGAACCTTCCCGTTCACAGCATCGCGCGTAAAATTACCAAATCCTGAATATTCCTCGGTCTTCCTCATCCATAACCAACAGGCCGATCCAAGCGAAATTGGGTTAAGCGTTGTCGCGTCTCGTTCGACGTAGAAGCATTCGCCTTTCGTTATTTCTTACGCCACAGACTCGATGGTAATTATCCGTGGCCACGAATTAATCAAGCCTCGGTTGGTCGGTTAATTGCTTAATTGGGCCTGCGTGAGCGTTTGGAGAACGCACCACGACAACGAATTGGGTTAGAGTTACTCGGAATCTGCCTCGCGCACCTTGGCTAAGTCCACGGCGAACTTTAAGGCCCTGCGAACCTTCCCACGCCACGCGTCCCTGAGAAACTACGGCGACCGCGTGCACAATGGATTTCAGAGTTGGACGAGGTGCAGGAGAGCCGAAGGGGAGTGAAAAAAGATGAGAGGGACACAGGAGCGGTGGCGGCGCAAGCGAGCGTCAAACGCATCCGGGGCAAAAAAGTCGGCTACGTACGCGCGCGTTAATAATGTTTCCGCTCGTTAAACGAGCGAGACGGAGCACGATTACGCGTTTTGCTTTTCCCACAAGCAGACACACGTGGGTACGTACATAGACAGGAGGAGGCTTGGGACACCATGGCCGTGTGCAAATGTGGCTGTCGCTCGTTCGCGGAACACACCGTTCGCGATTCTAGCGCGCGGGCTAGAGATCGATCCGTGATTAAGTGTTATTTTGTGTGTGTGTGCGTGTGTGTGTGCGTGTGTGCTGGCTTCATGAAAATTTCAAGCGGTGATGAGAAATCGTTTTTCTAAGGAGGTGTTTGAGGGATTTGAATAAAGGGGTGAGATCTGGCGAGGTAAAGTGTATGAAAGTAAAAAACGTGTGTGAAGCTAGAGGAATATTCAGGTTCGATTGTACGGTTTCCAAGAAAGTTGGTTTGAAAAAGTTCATTTTCATAGATCGTGCGTATTCATGCTCCATATAAGCTTCATAGGCCGAATATGGAATTAGAACAATTTATCGGGAAAAATAGTACTCTTGCAAGGATCTCCTTAATACAGGTGCCATTTGTTGAGGTCCAAAGGATTCTGGGAACAAGATACTTGCACTTTGTCCACTTGATCTATTTTGTGGATCACGACCCAGACTTGGAGCTGTCGTGGACCAAGGTAGAGTCCAGAGACCTCGATTTTCCCGATTCGAGATAGCGAGACCAGACTTAGGCTAGTTCTGGTTCCAAAGATCTTGATTTCCCTGACCTTCGGGTCGTAGGTCTCCACTTACACCACTTCGCAGTGAAGGGACCTCGATTTCCCCAACCCTGATATTACAGGACCAGCCTTTGACCAGTTCAGGTTCCAGGGACCTCGATTTCTCTGACCACAAGGTCGTGGGACCAATTACAGACTAGCCCAGAGTCCAAAGACCGCAATCTCTCCAAGTCTGAGATGAGTCCAGCTTTGAGCTACCCCAGTGACGCTGGGATTTTAGAATTCTTAGAGCTTCGAGGACTATGGGACCTAGGGAGCTCTGTGATCCCATAGGGGATGGTTCATTATTACGAACCAAGATTAAGCTCCGAATTTAAGGAAGTCGAGGTTCCTAGAGTGATCTTAGGCGAGATACACGACATTAGGATGGAAAATATCTGGATTCTACGACTCTTAGCTATATTGTGGTTGGATCTGTGAATCTAGAATTAGGACAGTTGAAGTCTCTTGACCCAAATCTGTTCCAAGGTTGGTCCCATGATTTTGGAACGGTGAAATCGAGATTCTATGACTCTAAACTGATTTCTAGGTGATCCCTTTCCCTAAGGTTTTTGAATTTGAAATCTTTCAACCCTTAGCTGGTCCACACAGCTTCCTGGATATCATGGTGGCCCGTGCTGGATCTCGAAGCTACAGATTCACTGAAGATCAGCATCCACTATCTCTAAGTTCAGAGATGTTCTAGACTTGCCGTAGAATTTTTTTGAGTGTTAAAACAGTCTATTTTATACGTTATATTGAAAGGCTCTTCGTCTGAAATGCACAAAACTGTGAATATCATAGATTTCTGCAATGGGACTCTCGAGTCCCACTCGAACTCAAAAAGTTAATCGCAATATGAGAATAATTATTCGTTCTCTGCACTCATAGTGCAGCCAAAAAAATATAATCACTAGTTATTTAATCAAAAATAGTCCCTACGTGACCGCACCAATTCTTCAGAAACGCATCACTTTCAACAGAATCCCTCGAATCGTTCCTCACTTTCAACCACCTTCACCTCCACACGCACAAGATTAAAGCCGAGTTCTTAATACTCGAATTACGAAGTTGGCCGGGTCACGATTGAAAAATGTCACGAAGTTTTAAGCGATCCCCAAGATCGTATCCGCAACGAAGGAGCAAAACTTCTGATCCCGCCCTAGCTTCTTGCGCCTCGCGGCCCCGGCCATCCCGTAAACAAACCATTTCCATGAGAATCGAGGGAAAAGAAGCCGTGGAACGGCTCGTCGGATTCCCTTAAGAGAGTTGAAGCGCGCCACGGGGGCAGAGGTTGTTCGAATAAATTAAAAACTTTCCGGCACGGGGCCAAGTTCAATGTCGGGACTCTTTGACTGCCTCCAGACGACGGTTGTCGACGTCGTCGTTTACGTTTCCACGTAAACAGACCGTCATGTCGTTCTTTTCCCCGCATTGTATTCAATCTTTGCCAGCGTAATTGCCGTGTATTGTTCCACGGTAATTGCCCCCCGACGCGAGTAGACGAACCGAGACAAACGTGTGTGTGTGTGTGTGCCGGCAGAAAAGAATCTGAATCACGCGAGAATCGAGATGGAAATTTCGAAAGTTAGTCGAAAGATGAGCGAGGAAGAGGCGGAACTGTCGAATCGAACTCGTTGCTAAGATTCCTCTATTATAAGGCTGAGAAAAAGGAAAGCTTCGATAAGAGACGAATATAAGCACCGAAGAAAAATTTGTCAAGCTTTTACCGTCATTTTGATTACTTTTCAAAATAACAAATTGTTGAGAAAAGTTCTGATTTGCGTTACTACCGTGTTGTTAGTCACTGTTTCGGTAATTAAGAGGATTTAACCGCACTGTTAAGCTATCTTTATCGTGCCCGCAGGATTTTTCCACGACTAAACGCGAAGTTGTTAGGAAGATAAAACAGCAGTTTTCGCGGTCTATAAAAATTCCACAAAGTTTTACGATTACTTTAAGATTCCCTCGGACTGTGGATGTTTCTCTCTTCTTCGTGGTTTGCTTAATTTCGTTTCTACGCAGTGAGTCAAAAATTGTTCGTAAATAAGAGAAATGATTTTTACTTCGATAAATGGAATGTGCGTTTCTTTTCGTCTTGAATAAAGTACTGTACGCTGGTGTTAATGCCGAGAATGGAACGAGCAAACATATAGAGTGACCTTCGAATGATTCCAGACCGCTGAATGGCTCTTTAGAGAAACAAGTGGTCCAAGCTTCCAACATCTTATGTAAATAACGTGCTCGGCAATAGACCGTCTTGGTTCTCGTTTATTTGTACAAGTTCGATCTTCCGGTAATCGAGGATGTTTTTGTGCATTCGTGGTACCGGCGCAAAGAATGGCGCAGCACATGTTAGACACACGATTAGATCGAACATGAGCCACTCAGACGCCAAACTGACTTCGTCAAATTAAAGTCAAATTTTTTTCTATTTACGAAGAATTAAGCACCAATCACTTTGATACTAAAATTCGAAGAATTTCAAACAGCGGAGTTGACCATTTTGGCTTTGAGTTTCTCACATGTCATTCTGTTATATTTCTACTTTGATTATTTTTAAAAATCATTTTGTATCATTTTAGAAACAAAATTTTCTCCAATTAAAGAATTATAAGATTAAAAATTTCGAAATTTTTCCAAATTGAGGAACTGCTAAGGTTTTCGAGATTTGAAAGAAGCTAAATTTCAGATTAATACTTTTCTTAATACGCGACGAAAAATTGAATTGAACTGCAGGCGTGGTTAAATACGCTCTTAATTTCCAAACGATCTCATCAGCTGTCTCATTTTCTCTAAAACTTCATCAGCGAACCATTCTCATCGGAAACATATCGCGAAAATTTGTCTGCGAGGAAGTCCGCCGCGTCTTCGAACTTTGATCGTAATCGACGATCGTAATTCGCGTTAGCCTTTGAACTTTGATCGTAATCGACGCGGTCGGACGCACGCGAGATCTAAATTTCATTTCAATTCAAAGTGAACCTCTCAGCTGGAATTAAAGTGGTAACCTGTCAAACGAGCCAAGTATAAGATCCTATTATAATAATTATTCAACAGATAATCAGAGATGAATTTTGTATTTCAAAATTTGATGTAATTT